GGGAAAGTCACAAATAATGATCATGTGATCTCAGGATGCCACAACCATTGTAAATGCATATCAATTGCTAAGCACTTGAATATTGATCACATAACCAAGGATGTTGTGATAGCCATAAGTTCGAAGTCTGATCACAAGTCATTTTTTTTAGCACAATCGTAACATAAAGCGATTGTTAAATGAATTGTTGTAAGTTAATGATTACCTGTATTACTTTTTGCTTCAGAGTTCAAAAGGTCCCTTCAAACACTTCTGTGGATTGTATTTCTAGTATAAATAAGAAATGTGTACAGAAAGATACTGGACATTAGTATTTATTCACTACATTTACATCCTGTCATTTCTCTGGAAGTTCCAAGGTCCTATTTTTCCTCCAAACAGTCCTCTAGGATAGAGTTAATTGAAAGTAACTTGCCAATTGTCAAGTCACTGCTCAGATGTGGATGTGAATATGATTCAGATACAAGTCCAGCATCTTAACCAGCTGAGACTTTAAGTGTACAATGTATAGAAAAAGGAGAACAATATATACATGGACACACTTTTGTAATGAGAACATCTTGAGAACAGAATTACACTGTTTTAGTGACATCTGCTGGCATACAGGGGAACATACAAATGCGTTTCTAAATATTTCTGAACTATCCTGTTCTGAATTACTTTTATACTGCAAATAATTCTGACCATATTTTAACCAAGTGGTTTTATAGAGAGTTTATTATAATTATTTCAGCTATAATTCCCATGTCATAAATATGCTACTTATCAGACACGAGACAGTTTGCCTGCCTGCACTTTTTCCTATTAAAATGTTTGAAAAAGAAACATTCAAAGAATAATCCTATATAAATGATCTAATGTGAAATATATGAGTATTGTTATTACAGTGCTTAATTAACACTTGGAATATTTTTAATACTCTTTATAATTTTTTTCTCTTCTCTTTCAGTCTTGGTCTTTGTAATGGGCAAAGAAGGGGTCCATGGAGGCGGATTGAATAAGAAGGCATACTCAATGGCAAAATACTTGAGAGACTCTGGGTTCTAGTTGCTAGGCAGACTGTTAAGTATTAGGGGAAATTGCTATTAAACTTTCCTGACAGTAATCTATATTGTGGAAACTTTATTAGCAATGCAGGGTGATGGGAAATGAACCTGTGTCTCCTTTGTATCCCTCTATTGGTGGGGAAAGGTGTTATTCTTTCTTTATTTCTGTTCATCCTTGTTTCCTTGTGTACTCCAGCATTGGTTATGGTTATGGGAAAGAGAAACTGTCCAAAGAAGGACACTCAATAAGAAAGCTAATGAACTGGCTTTATACCTGCAGAGGTTTGATATCTAAGCAACCTCTCCCCATTCACATAGCAACTCTCACCACAACCCTCTTGTGTTCACCGCATTACCAGCCTAAAGATGACAATTTATTTACACATCTTTTCCCTGATGTCATGGCTTCAGTTACTCTTTTTGTTGGTATGTTAATCATTGTTGTATCCATATTCTGTATCTGGCACCATCTTTTGCAAACAGATGATATGCATGATACATTGAAGCCTTGGGAAGAAAATCATGCTAAGTCCAGACTTTACTTTGTCTTAGCGATTAATGTGACATTGAGAACTAAACCAATTTAAATGAAGTGAAATAAAGGTGCCGATTGTACAATCAAGATTGATCAATGCCTCTTCAGCACTTTGAGCATTTACACAGCTCATTAGTCTTCCTTTGTAGAGCATGGTTGGGAGGGGTAAAGTGCATGCATATCTACTTTCTTCCCCCTTGTCCTCATCCACTTCTTTTTTGTTTCTTTCCTTTCATCTTCTATCTATAAATACATTTTTTAAAATACAGTGCCTGGTTTGTTTAACCAATTTGCTGCTTGAAAGCTGTTAAAATTGTTGCTCTAGTTTTGTTGTTGCTCTTCTGTGTAGACTTGCAAACTCTTCATGATGTCTGAAGCACATCCTGCTTTAAAAGGGTAACTGCAAAACTATGAAAAGGTGCCGATGCACTTCTCCCATCACCTAACCACCATCACCATCTTGAATGAATCCCCAGGGACATTCCATCACCACAATAGCTCAGGCACGTAACTTTCTTTGCCAGCTCCTGTTCTGTAGTTGAACTGTAAAAAGGCTGCCATCATGGACTTTAGATATCCCAGTGTAACCATCTGGAGTGTGTCCAGTTTCATTTTTTTTCATAGGACCAATTTTGATTTGCAGCTTGGGTTTTATATGATACTGCAGTGTCACTGTCAGCAAACTGCCACCTTTGGTTATACAGGTAGCATCTTGACTGACATCAGTCTGCTGGAATATTGAAAGGATATTAAGACTTGCTACTTTGAAGGTTGGTAGTTTTAAAATAAAAGTCCAAATAAATACCACTTCAAATCTAATTTTCATTTGGCCTGTCATGCCCTAGCTGCAGAAATTGTGAAGTAAATTGCCTTGTGCATTAGTCATCTGAAACATGTGTAACCAAATTGTCAGTTTGAGCACGGTACTAACATGTATGTCCATTTAAAAGAGAACTGCAGAACTCTGTATACAGAAAATGAAAGATGGTCTTGGTTGGAATAACTGAGTTGGCTGTCTTGTGATAAATTTTTAATATGTATTCTGTGCCATACTAATGTTTAAAAAAATGATCTGTTGCTATTGTGAGATGGATTTTAACTACAAGAATGGCTTCTTCTGAATGGCACTACTTTAGGGACACTCTAGTATTTGCTTCTGTTGTTTGAGCCTTGTGGATAATGTACAGACTTAAACAAATTCTTGTTGCTGATTTGTTCATTTATTTCCCTGCACTTTGTTACATCTGGGATACAGTCTAACTCATCTGATTTAATATGCATTTCAAAAAATGCCATAACTATTAAACACCTTGTTTACAGACAGATGAAATAAATTTATTCCAACCAAATAAATTATGAATTAGTGTGTTATGTGGGGTTTTTTTTTCTTCATTGCCCTTGTGGATTATCTATCTTATACTTACACTAATTTTTTCTATTAAGATCAGTATAAAATTAATTTTCATTACAATGTGTTGAATTTAGTGAATAATCCCTTCCTTTAATGAATATTGATCACATTTTTCAACAGATCTGGGAGAGGGAAGAAATTTGTATTCAATATGTCAGTATTGCTTTTGTTGTAAATCAACTGAAAATCTTTAAAGTCAATTTGATCAACTGTCAGAAAAAGCTGCTAGATAGCCAAATTTAGAGCTGTTGCTGAATCTTGATTAATATAACTATACTCTGAACTTTAGATTTTTGTCTGTTTTGAAAACTGTCCAGCTTCAATGGAAGATCTCCATTTCTAGCATAGTCATCCAATTTTTTTATTCAGTCCCAAATATCATTTCTTAATTTTTATTGATTTTTGGTAAATAACATTTTTTTTGTTTGTTTATTAAATTTGCTTGCTGCCAATCTTGCCACAAAATAACTCTGGGTGGCTTACAACATTAAAATGAAATCATAAATATATACCATTTACAACTTGATGGCTTTAAGGTTAGGTCTATTACAATTGGAGAAGATTCCAAATTTTATGGTAATACAGAGATGGACGTCCACGAACCACAAGCTTTTATATGTTCGGAAATTAAGGAGTCTCTAGGAAGCAACTCTTTACACTTCCACCTTTAAACAATCCCCAAATCTCTTAAATCATATTAAAGATAATTTAAGAAAGGAAATGGCAATTATCACAGAGGTTTACCCCTCCCTTCTTATAAACTCAGAAGTAAAAAAAATAATAGAGCTCTTTTCAATGATGGAAAGCATTTGTAGTTTTTACCAGGAAACATGGCCATGCACTATTGCTCACTATTCTTCCCTTATTTTTTATAGCAAACCAATAAACCATTAGGCCTCACAATCTAAAACTTGTCTAAAGTTTGATATAAGCTATCTAATCCTTTGAAGTCCCTTTATATCCATGGATAATAGAATAACTTTGTGTACACATAAAGATATGTTAGTTGGATGAAAAAATAAATGCCAACTTCATTCTTCGTTAATAGCACTTAAACTTAGACTTAATGCTGGGATGTGCCTCAGGATCCCAAGCAACTTGTTAAATAATAATTTTAAAGTCCATGCCTGCCATGTTCATTAAGTAATATTGTTCTTAAAAAAACTTTTTAGGATGAAATTTGACAATCTGTTTAAAAAACAAAAATATCGGGCTTAGGAGTCATAAGTTCAACAGAGGAACTGTTTTGTTTCAGACAAATGGCAAAGCACAGACTTCTTAAAAGTATAAAAATGATAAGCAGCCACTGAAATGTTTACCAGGGAAAGAATTGTGTTCATTAATTGGATGAATTGAAGAGCTTGCAAAACAGTTGCCTGAATAAATTAATACTTGCTAATTCTAGTTGTGTCTGCTCATAGGCCAGTGTTTCTCAACCTTCACCATTTTAAGGCATGTGGACTTCAACTTCCAGAATTCCACAGCCAGCAATGCTGGCTGAGGAATTCTGGGAGTTGAAGTCCACATGCCTTAAAATGGTCAAGGTTGAGAAACACTGTCATAGGCGATAAATAATGGGTTTGCACATTTTAGAAATCAAACATTTTAATCCATTATTTAAGATATCTCAAGCCCTTTAGAATAAGTTTCAGTACTTTAAAGTATAGGATATACTTGTGTTGATGACACAGTAAAGTTTTTTTTTTATTAATTGTACAAATACTATTGTGAAAATTGAAGTAATTTACAAACAGTTTGATTTTTTTTCCTCTTGTTCACTTGAACCTTTTTAGGCATGAAAACCAGCTGGGTGACTTTGCCAAGCCACTCTCCCTCACCCAACTCACCTCATAGCATTGTTATGGAGAAAATAGGAGGAGGAAGAAGTACTAAATATGTTTGCCATCTTAGTTATAAAAATAATAAAGGCTTGATAAAAATATAATAAATATGTGAAAGAGAAGATATTTCTTGTTCAGAGGCTTCCAAAGGAAAACAAAATTGCTACTAAAGTGGAAAACGTATTTATTAACATCCTTTCAAACTTTCCTGTACAAGACCATATAAAAAAATCCCTGTAGTTTGACTATACAGAAGCATGGCTACATTCTTTTTACATAATTACACTTCTATATAATGTTGTTTTCATGATACAGTGTAAGTAAAATCCTGTTAGCTATGAGCACTTATTTTCAAACTCAATACATAGTTCGATTTATTTCTCTGCATAGTTTTTACCAAGCTAATTAGTATCAGACACTCTTATTACAAGATATACCTCCTTTGTAAATCAGTACTGCATACAAAATTGTTTCCAAATATGGCATACACAAAATTAAATGTTCTAGTAGATGGTTGCTTTAAGGTTGCCTTTCTGCATTGGTCCCAATCCCCGTCTGAAGAAAGCGGAGTATTAGCGAAGTACTCCAATGAATATGGGGTTATCCTGTTTATTTCCTTAGAGATGGGTTAAGCTAAATCATGCTGAGATTTCTTTGCCAGGTGCTTGCAAATGCAATAGGATAATGGAAAAGACAGTCAAAATCCTTCACAATGCTCAAAGCTCCAATTCCTCTTTGTTGGGAAATAATCTTGGCAGACAAATACAGAACAAGTATATTTTGTTCTTTAAAAGGTGCTGGTTCTTCTAGAGAAAGCCTTTACAGACATAACACCCATACATTTTTTTGGTTGGATGGATGTTTAGGGTAGTACTTACCATACATTTAACAAATAACTGAATAAATCACTGCTTACTTAACACTCTTGTAGCAGGGAAAACACATGTACGGTCTTGGTTCAACTATGCTGATATACCTTTTTTGTGGGGGAGTGCATTATATTTAGTGATGGAAGCCCCGTTACTAACATTGTGAAGTCCTGTTAAAATGTTTGTCTTCAAAAGACAAATTGAATAAACAAAAGAAAGGAAACCTGTAATGAGATTAAACTATATAGAATGCTATATGAACAGGTGCTTCTAGTGAAGCAATGGAAGGGCTGCAATGCACTTCTCTTATGTACAGGTACATAAGATGAGAGGTCTCTGGGGAGAGGAGTTCAGGTAACACTGCCCACTTTGCAGTTCAAACAGCATCTGCTGGTCTGTAATCCTTTTCATCGTTGGGCTGTAGCTGGACTACTATACTTTCTTCTGTCACTCCATTCTCTGCATCGCTACTGTCAATATCTTCATTTCCTTCCTCCTCCTCTTCATAGTCTGAAGATTCCGTTATATTTGGATGCGAGTATGACTCTGATAATGCGCCAAAAGACTGAGTGCTAACTGAAGCAACTGGCCTAAGCAAAGGGGTATTCTCAGAGACTTCATTCTCCTCCTGACTGCTGTCTGTTTCAGAATCAGAATCTCCCTGAGAAGGGACCACTTTCTGTTTACAGACAGGACATGTTTTCTTCGTTTTAGTTAGCCAAGGATCCACACATTTGCAATGGTAGGCTGACAGAAAAAAAAGAAGGAAGAAAGGAAGGTAGTTTGAAGGAGACTGGGGGAAATGGGCAGTTATAGGCAGCATGGGGATAATTTTACATGTGATAATAAACAAGGCATTCTGCGCCACCCACCTTCAGACCATTTTTTTCTATAGAAGTCAGTTTACTTCTGAAGAAACCATAAATGCTACTAGTGCAGTAGCCAATGAAATGTCATTGCTGAACTGTGAAATAATGTTGGGCCTCTGAATAATCTTGCATTTTCAGGTGATAGTTACTAGTACTATTATTATACCTACAATCATAAGATGCAGTACAAAAAAATAAAAGTTAAACTGGTCCTTCTAAGTCTACAATCAAACATGGTGCTCCCTGTACTAATTTTTACTACTAATAGTTGAATTTCAACTATTATGAAAAATTAAGTTCAACAAAAATCTCTTGTGTGTGGAAAGTTATAAATGTGGAATTTATAGAGCTCAAACAATACAGAATCCACTACAAGAAATTATTTAGCTACAAGCAATGTCACATTTTTACCCGTAAGCAAGCCACTGATCTGTACTGTCAAATAACACTTATGACTGGGATCTCCTTGGATTATTTCAAAATACAAACTGAAAATAGCATAATTGAGTTTTTAAAAGGTAACAAATGCTGACCTGCTGTATCAAACAAAATCTAGGCACTCCGGCCATTCTGTTAATCTCTTTGAGAAGGTACAAACTGTCAGCCAGTACTTAATATTTTATAAATATGAATTTTGGATGCAGCCACTTAACATTATTTAATATTTAAAATGTCACCTGTTTCAATCCAAATATACAATCAAACCTAGGATACTGATATTGGTAACTGTCAAAATTCCTACAAATATAGGACTAAGTTTCTTCTCTCTTACTTGCCACACCCGACTTTATTATAGTCTAAAATGATTCTTGAAATAACAGTAATAAATTTCATTATATGTCTCTGCCGAGGATGGCTGGGAATTCTTGGAGATGTAATCATAACAATTCTGTAGGAACCAGCCTTATTAGTTTAATCCAATAAAAACTGCATTTACAAATATATATTTGGTTCCTTGTCTATAATAAGCAAAATCTTGTATCCCACAGCAAAACAAGAATTCAGTAAATAATCAAATGTAGCCACTTACCATGAGAACAAGGAAGAATTCTGAGTTTATCTCCATCCTCATATTCATCCAGACAAATGGCACAAACATCATACTCATCTCCTGAAGCAGAGAAGTTTTGAATGAAACAGTACAGAAGCAGAAGTAAAATGCAGAAATGACAGGAGTAACTTACGATTTTATAGAATTCTAATACTTAGTATTAGGATGGCAGCTTCTATACAAGAATAAATGGAGCACTTTTGGTGAAAGATATTTCACAATGTATGGAGTGTCAATCAAGAAGCTACCTGAAATGTCTTACACCAAAGCTTTCTTTTCCTAACTGGGTACTGCAAAAGCCCAGGAAAGACAAAAGTGCCAAATTGTTTACAGCACCATCTTAATATCTTTACTCTTAAAAAATAAATCTTTATTCAGCTAAAATAAAAGCATTTGCTTTCTTTGAGTCATGTGCCTTCAAGTCAGTATTTTGACTTGAAGGCACATGACTCAGCGTTAGATGAGACTGCAGTTTTCTTGGCAAGGTTTTTCAAAGGTGCCCTTGCCTCCTTCCTAGGGCTGAGAGAAAATGACTGGCCCAAGGTCACACAGCTGCTTTGTGTCTAAGGTGGGACTAGAACTAATGGTCTCCTGTCTTAATCACTACATCAAGCTGGCCCTCTGCAAGTGATATTTAAGGGAGGGGGAAATCTCCAAATAACTGATTATTTTTATGGAGGAATGAGGCATAGAATTGAATAGTCCAAAAGAACTTTTGTTAGCCAAGAATCTAAGAAAGATTTCAGTTTTTCATGCTGTGGCTGAAAATCCTGGCCAGATTTCCAAAGTAATTCCCAATAAGGAATATAGTCTTTAGGGCAGTAAAATGGTCAGATTTGCTTTCAGAAGATACAGATAACACTGGCAGCAATAAAGGGTACTGTTGTGCTAACAGAGTAAAGGGCCATCTCAAAGTGTCAGAAATTTCATTATCTAGTCAGCTAAGTGACTTTGACAAGGGAGTAAATTGTGTGGCTACTGAATTTGCACTTGTCATTAAGCAAGGAGGGTGAGCTCACTATAGAAAACAGACATGACTCAAAATGATATTGACAGGTTGGAACAATGAGCTGAAGCTAGTGTGAGCTTTAATTGAGCTACCAAAAATTTAAAATGAAGCCAGACTATAGTTGCATTCATGACCTGGGTGGCCATATAAACTGATTTAATAAACAAATGGGCTAAATTAATACATATTACATGGGGTCTTGACAATACAGATGGTCTTGACTTAACAACCACTCATCTATAATTGTTTGAACTTAAATGATGGTACTGGATCATGTTCTGATCATCATAGCATCCTGTGATTGTATGATTGCCATTTGTGACCTTCATTGCTGGCTTCTGACACGCAATGTGAAAGACAGCAAGAAGCTGTAAATGGTAACCAAGTGATGTCATGCTTAACAATGTCTTGGGATTTGCTTAATGATGGCAATTGGGAATGCCCAAATTTCTGTTGCTACACTTTCATGTGATACCACACTTCACAACCATATTGCTTAACCCTGAAAATTCCAGTTCCAATTACCCTTGTTAACTGAGGTCCACATGTAGACATGAAAATGATTTAAGATATTCTAAATAGAACATGAGGTGACTCTGTTATTAATTTTCATTGATTAGTACAATCATACAGTTTTTCATGGGAAACAATTATTCAATTATAATTTGTTAACCAGGCTTCAGTCAGAGAAACATGTCAAATTTACCACACTGAAAGAAACTGATAAATTGAAACATGTCCACAAAGAGGAACCATGAGCAGCCTGGAAACCAATGAAGACTCAGAAAGATGTGGATAAGTCCAGGCATTTTAGCTCTAAGATGCTAATTCACCTTTGTTGTTCCAGAGGACAGGACTAGAATCACTAGATTAAAGTTGTAATAAATAGATCTAGCAAAAGATTAGAAGTACTGTATTACAGAGGAAGAGCCTCAACTAATGAGACTAAAGAGTTATAATCAGAGGCTGAGTGGCTATTTCTCTGTAGAGTGAGTAATCTAATAAGATATTTGCATCCCACCAGAAGCACAGCAGAAATTGTAATGCAAATACACATATAGAAAAGGTTCACTGAAATTAATGCTGGTAACAATACAAGACTATTCCCAGACTTCCTCATCCTAAATACTAATAATGCTCCAGTTCCCTAGTCTCATTACTGTGACATAACTGTCATGACATTTTCCTGTTCCACCCACCAGGAAAGCTAGTTTTTATGCCATACAAGAAGTCTCAGTGTTGCTAAGATACAGCCTAGAACCTGTTGGCTCAGATTTAACACACAAATTCAGTTTGGAGATGAAAGAATCCTTCTCTTTCTAAAAAGTTTCAATAATTAGTCTCATCTGAATGCAAAGAAAGGCATAAAGTTTGCAGGCAAACTTGAAAGAACTTGAAAGAAAATGAAGGAATGCCTAACACCAAGATTATACTCCTCCAAATCTGCCATCCGAATATGAAATAAAAAAGCACAAATAATTAACCCCTTCAGTATCAACAGGGTTTGAGCAGCTGTAATTGGTGCTAATGGATTTTGCATTAGTGCCCTGGGAAATCTTTTCTTCAACAAATGGCATTTCTGGCTCCTCTCTTGCCAAATACAGTATCACAAAGAGCTAATTCTGAACTAGGTTTTCTAAGGTACAACTTCTTTGTGCCAGGAACCACGGGGATTAGGTAGGCCTGCTTTGTTTTGATGCCGTCATTCTCATAGCAATGCCTTTGATTAAAGAAGCTTAAAACCCTATTTGTGTTAACATTTTTCCACAATCACATTTTGTTTTCCTCTGGGAGGTTAGTATGCATGATTTTACAAGCAACTTAGTTTATATTTTAGCATTGACAACTGAACTATTAACAGGAGAGTAAGTTCTATCTTGATGCTTTCCAATTAAAACTGCTGGGAGAAAAAACTCTTAAAGACTTGTTTTTTAAATTAAGTACAAGTAAGTCTGCAAATTCTGTGAAATGGCAAGAAATCTGCCTAACTACCCATAAGAGAGAAAAAAATGCTTCACATACCATAGGCAATTAGGTCTGTAAGCATCCAACAAGTCACATTAAGATTTACTACTATTATTATTATTATAGCTTTTTTAACACAATGTAATCAATGTATTTTTACAGTAAGTATAAGCAGCATTAATGTGAAAACGTTAATTGAGAATTTATATTTCTAAGCTGGGAATGGTAGAAATGTTTAAGTAATGTCAAACAAGATGACCTTTAGTTTAATGCAATAGAAATCAAGTTATATTGGAACTAGGGTGTTACACTTTGTGACATACCCTGCAATTTGTTAATGCTGAAACATAAATTATAAGGGGTATCTATAAACTCTTCAGTAGTTATTTAGCTTCCATTTTTCAGGCAATTATTTATGTAAGGTAATAATAGTATCTGCTCTGCCCTTCTAAATCAGATAAATTGAAGAATTATAGTGTATATAGCCATTACGTGAAAAACAATTATCATTATGTTATTAGAATGTTTGTTTCAGGAGATTTAAAAAAAGTCATTCCAGAAACAGGAGTCTCAAAGAGTTCAAATATACAAATACATTTGTATATACATCTGGCTCCTCATTTTACCAACCTTGGAACAATGGAAGACTGAGTCAACCTTGAGCAGGTCTGGATTGAATTCCTGGCTATGGGCAGAGTTTGCCTGCAATAATGGATTCTAACCATTGCACTACCAGGACTAATAAAATCATCTAAAGCAGCGGTTCTCAACCTATGGGTCGCGACCCCATTTGGGGTCGATTGACCATTTCACGGGGGTCGCCAAGCAAGGCTGTCCGCCATTTTTTTCCCCTTTTCTGGCGGGTGCCTTACCTCCCTTGAGCTGGGCCAGCTGGTGGTCGGCCTGCTCCGTCTCTGCCGCTTGCCAGCTACGCCTCAGCCGGCGCAGGGGGCGAAACCACACATGCGCGGCGCTCCCGGGCAAGGAAAGTCCTCGACTTACGACCGGTTGGGTAGTCCTCGACTTACGACCAGTTTAGTCCTCGACTTACGACCGGTTTAGTCCTCGACTTACGACCGGTTTAGTCCTCGACTTACGACCGGTTTAGTCCTCGACTTACGACCGGTTTAGTCCTCGACTTACGACCGGTTGGGGGTTGCGGCATTAAAAAGGTTGAGAACCACTGATCTAAAGGATAGGGATTTGGAGCAAAGCAGCAGGCATTTAAAGAACACAGGAGCCTTTGAGGGAGCTTCTCTAGAGCTCATGAGCATCAGAAAAAGTCCAAAGCAGGGAGGAAAAAAAATCAGGAATTGCTAAAAGGGAGTCACCTGTTAATGTTTCTGCTGCCAGTGCTGTATGTCTGACTGTTTGCTTGCTACTGAGGCAAACTACACCTTCATTCCCATGGGGGGGGGGCGGTAGGGGGAAAGGTGATGTTTTATGGGTTTTATGTTGTGGATTTTTAATGCTATAAGCTGACAGTGTTAACATGTATGAGTTGGGAGGTCATAAAATTTGTTTAATTATTCAATGAATGAAAATAATAAACTATGGATAATTGATAATACAAGGGGATAATACAAGTCAAGACAAAGTATTGGACAACATCTCAAAGTATCACAAACTGGAAACTGAAAGATTATTGCATAACCCAGCCATGGTGGTTCAATGGTTAGTGGCACACTGGGTGTCATGCCAAAAAATATTGTGGCATTTAATAAATTTCCATCTGTCAATTTGGATCCACACATATACTTCGATATATTATGACATCCTAGGTTCTTCGGAAGAACTCAAGGTGAACAAAGGCCAACATCAACTAAAGAACTGGCAACTGTGATTGTTGTGAACAAATAATATTTACAAGTGATTCTTGCAACTGGAGTTACATAGAAAATACATCAAACAAAATGTTAGCTGTGGCTAAATCAGGTAATTCTTGGTTAATGACTGTTTGATTAGTGCGTGTTCAAGATTACAACAAACCCCCAGAAAGATACTTATGACCCAGATTCAGAGTTCAAATATCCAGCCCCCAACATGGTTATGTGAGTGCATTTTTGGTGTGCTCAGCAACCACTCA